AATTTTAGTACATCAGCAAGAATATGAAATTTAAAATGTTTCTGAGGGGCTGGAGAGATGGCTGGTTGCTTAAGAGCTCTTACTGCTCTTGCAGAGGACTTGTGTTCAATTCCCAGCATGTCAGACAGCTTGAAAACAACTATAACTTCAGCTCCAATGGATCTGATGCCCCCTTCTGGCCTCCACAGGCATCTTCACATACATGGTATACACACACACACACACACACACACACACACACACACACACACACACGGGGGGGGGGGGTGGCACAAAGATGCAGATAAAAACAAAATTAAATCTTAACAAAATGTTTCTAAAGATTGACAAATACTTTTGATATGATACAGAATAGTGGCAGATTCCATTAAATAAACACTGGAAGAGTGAAAATATGCAGAAGTGTTAAGCATTTCAAAAATGGAAACTAGTTACTAGTTTAGGATAACACTGTGGACTACTTTAAAAAATATTACCATTGCAATGATAGTAAAATTAGTTTTAGTCTTAATTACATTGTACTGAAGTCATTTTAAATAACTTCTAGAAAAAAGATATAAATTACTTCCAGGATATTAAACAGCCTTCAAGACAAAGGTCAGAAATCTTTGCAAATTCATGAGAAGGCAGGAGATGAATGAACAATTAAAACTACAACTACGGGGAAAAAAGAGGCTTGGGGTGGTTAGCTGGCATTGCTTGCTGATCAGATTCTAGAGAATGCTCCAGAAGGTAGTGAGCCTTAGCAACCAGCAATACTCATGAAGAACTACACAGGATGAGCTGCATGAGCCATTAAGAGCAACACTTTTATATTCACGGGGCTCCCTTTTCTCGTTTAATTAAAAAAAAATTATTAAAATCTCGGCAGCATGAGAAGCTTTGGACCACAGCACAGAGAATGGGAAAGGGAGCCCACTCCAGAGCTGCCTACCTTCAGAACCCCACACCTGCTGTGCTGGGAAAGGGGTTTGTTTGATTCATCCTGAAGGCACTGCCAGTTCTGCCCAGCAGAGCAGGGGCATAGAGCACAGAATGCTAGGACAGAGATAAGGAAGTTGATTGAATACCTGCTTCCAACGAGGAACCATGCAAATATGTGTTCATTTTCTGTAATCAGAGCTATGGCTATGTTAAGATCAGCCTTGGGTTACTATTCTTTATCAAAGGGAACAATTCACATGAAATGTTCCAGAAACTAGAAAGAGATGCACAAAATAAAAGTGGTGCCAATATCACCATCATTTTGAAAGACCTGGAGAGTCTATGGTGAGAATTCTGGTGTGTGTATAACAAATGCAAGGATCAAGTCCGAAGACGAAAACAGTAAAGATAACTGGGCCTGGTGCTGCATGCCTTTAATCCAGGCACTCAGGAGGCAGAGGCGGCCGGTGGATCTCTGAGTTCGAGGCCAGCCTGGTCTACAGAGCAAGTTTCAGGACTACTTAGAAGAAACTGGGACTGTATTTCATTGCTACCTGAGTAGAGGCAGAGAAGTCCTCACTGAATGCAATCTAATAGATAAAACAAGGTGGACTGGGGGCCACAGTCCTTAGACAGAAGTATGTCCTATCTACTAAAGGTGATGGTGCATCTGTCATAGGCTCCATTGGCATGGCATTCGTCCATCTCTTTTTTGGGGTAGATCATGCAGTGCCTGCTTGGTTGTGCCATGGTACCATGTTTAAGAAACATATTTTCTGTGCCACAGTAAATATGGCTAACCTTGTTATGAATGTAACAGCTGAAGGAGGTGGACATTTTTCAGCCAGGTAAGAAACTACTAAATAAAGCCAGGCATACTGATGCATGCCTTTAATCCCAGCACTGGGAGACAGAGGAAGGTGAATCTCTCTGAGTTCAAGGTCAGCCTGGTCTACAGAGTGAGTTGTAGGACAGCCAGGGCTACGTAGTGAGTCCCTGTCTGAAAACAAAACAAACAACAACAAGAAGGAAGGAAGGAAGGAAGGAAGGAAGGAAGGAAGGAAGGAAGGAAGGAAGAAGGAAGGAAGGAAGGACCAAATATGCATTCTATGGTGGAAAAGGCATTCTCAGGAATTGAGCTGCAGACAGGCATGAGAGAACGTCAGTGTAACTCACCGAAGTTCAGGCTTCATTACAAGGAAGGGCAGGTGGGCCTGCTTGGGACAGAGCCCCACTTGTGGAATTTTAAACTGAAGGAGTAAGTGCATGTCACAGGTGTAACTTGGAGGGGAAAGACGCGCAGAGTCCAGGGCACCCACTTCATTCCATATCCTGGCCCTAACTGTTTTCTTCCAATATCCAGGTATGAATGCAACAATTGTGTCACCTCTTCCCAACCAACCACCAGGGCTAGAAGGGAAAAGGCTGTGTTTCAGGAGCACGCCTGCTGAAGGAGCCATGCTGAACACTGAAGACAGCTTGTGGCTGATACTGCAGGGAAAGGGGCAAAGGGCAACTTCTCCGAACTTGAACTTGTGTCCATGGACAAAAAGGTGAAGGATTCTTTCATTTCTGCCTACTGTGCACAGGGTAGGCAGACACTTAACTGCTAAAATGCCAGCAGCATCATGGTACAAATTCTACACCGGTGCATGGACACAGCATCCAGAGAGCACACCTAGCAAAGGGAGAAGTCCACTCCTCATGCCAAACTGGACTGGAAAAGCTCTTTCAGGCATTGTTACAGATCAGAACACGGTGGCAGGGCAGTCCTCTCTCTGAGCATATTGGTCTGTGGAAATCAAGATGTCCTTCCCAGCCTTCACAGTATGAGAAAGGATGCCTCTAATTACCCAGGCCTTCGTTCCTTAGTGTCATCTTGTCCGTAACATGTGACTGCCATGTGTTGTCAGGTACCACCCCTCCCCCCACGGCGGAGCCCCCTCCTGAGTGTTAATTTTAAAAACTTGCCCAGCTTTCCAATATGCCTCTGTATAGTCTGTTTTCGGGAACTATTTTTGGTCTTGCTTCACACCAGGCCTGGCAGGAAGAGTGCCGTCTCCTGGTCCCCACGCCTGGAGTACTGGTCTGCTTTCTCCGTCTCCTCACTTCCCACTTGACTCTCGCACAAGCAAAGCACTCTTCACACATACTCTTTCAAACCATTATTCTTCCTTTATTCCAGAAAGGGGCTTAAAATACTCGGCAATGTTGCCAAATCCTCCTTCTGACAGGCATACATGGCAATTTAAATAGGCGCTGTTTTAAAAATTGTTTCTGCCGCTAAGCAAAAAAAAGGGGGGTGGGGTGGGGGGAGAGAGAGAGAGAGAGAGAGAGAGAGAGAGAGAGAGAGAGAGAGAGAGAAGGAAAAAGCAATATTGCCCTGCATGAATGGGAATCAGTTCTAGGAGCACCTTTGGAAGGGAGAGGCTGTGCTGTGGGGGGTGAGTCAAGATGAGACAAGCTAGGAGGATCTTCCCAATTATCTCACAGAGCAGAGGGATCACTATGCCAGACAGTTCCCACAGGACACAGCGTTTCTGCCCAGGTTGGTACAAGATTAAAACAATGATTATGATGATGTAAGAGTTTCATCTTACTCATCCATGAACTACAACTGTTTACTAACACACACTGGTTGTGGGGATGGACTCCACGCAGACAATTATAAACTGTCCAGATCCATTCTCACCTTTAGACAAAGTGTTTTCAAACTGCTCAGAACCACCCTAGTTCTAAATGCACTGTTTAAAATGCAAAGGGGGCAGAAACTGCAAATGCTTCACAAAGCACTCGACAAGGTGGCATCCAGTATTTCCTACATGTCAAGACAATTGAAATTTATACATATCTAGGGTCATAACGGTCTAACACTACCAACTGTCCATTTTTAGGGTGACATACATCTCTCACAGAATACTCCTACTACATTACACAGGATGCAGAACCTCTGCAAGGGACAGGGAGGACAAAGTGGGTACTAGGGACCAGCTCACCAGGTCTCAATGCCTCAGACCAGAGCAGCTGCTGGACGAGAGCTGCGATGACACTCTGCAAGCTTCCCACATCCTTCCTATGCTATGGCGCTACTGACTGAAGTCCTGAGAAAACATTTGAGGGGACACCCTGACATTGAACTCTACAGCCAGACAGATCTCTGGGAAGGACAGCGCATAGTTGGGATGGGGGTTAGGCAGCAAGGGAACTTTTCTAAGGGCTCTGCTTCTTTGTCTATAACTTCAATTCTTTAATTGGCTTTAATCTGATCAAGGCACGTGTGGGATGGCTGAGGTCTGCCAGAAAGAACATCTGAGAGTAGAACACTATTTTTCATGGATAGTTAGTTCCTGGTGGGAAACACAGGGGCAGGCGGCCTATGGAAAGAACATAGCTATGGCCTGGCTCCAAGGAGCAGACCTAGAAGAGGGATTGAGTCTTCCAGGACCGCTGCTGAGCCATCAGTGAGTCTGACACCTAGCAAGATAAAGGAGAGCATTTGAACTTTTGGGGGAAGGGCACCCTTTCCATATGTGCACTGGGACAGGAGTTTGGGTGGAAATTAGAAAAGGCTAAATCGGTGCCTTAGAAGCGGATGCAGCGTCACGGGCACCGCAGAGGGCGGCAAACAGCCTTGGCTTCATATCCAAGTAAGAGAGCATCTCCTTTGGGGGACAGCAGGGAGCCCAGTCAATGCGGGATTGTGAGTACACAGGCTAGCATTTCGGGCTCTTCAGCAGGGTAGGCTCGGACCTAGATCTGCAGAGAAAGAGAGATGGAGCGCAGAGCAGAGGCAACCGAGATCGGAAGAAAAGGGTTCAGGAGAAGAACGCGGGGACGCAGCGATCGGTGGCCCTTACCTTGCTGACCACGTTCTGGACGAGGCCAGTGCGGATGCCGTAGTCCCAAGCGTGGCAGTCGCAATTTGAGTCGTTGTTCCCCTTGCCCGGAGGGGACGGAAGGGGTGGCGTGTCGCTGCTGTTGCTTCGGTTGCTCGCGGTCCCCCAGGCAGCAGTGGAGAAGGGGGTGGCCGGGGGGCTGGTCCAGTTGCCCATGTCGCCCCACCGGCCGGTGACAGTGGCACCTGCCAGCTCGGTGCCTTTGCCGGCCCCGCGGCACCAGAAGTTGGGCTGGTCCAGGAGGAAGGAGTCCGAGAACTGGCTGAAGCCGATGAACAGCGCCGGGATCCAGGTGAGCACCACCAGGGTCTTCTGGTAGCCGCCGCCCAGGCCCCCGAGGAAAGGCAGAACCGAGCCGTCATAGTCCAGCAACAGGAGGCTCGGGGCGGCTGCCGCCGCGCAGCAGCTCGAGTGCGGGCCGCCGCTTGGGTGCAGCGCAGGCAGCGGCTGGATCTCCGCGCTGCCGCCGGAGCCCGCGCGTCCCCCGAGGGGCGCGGAGGCCGCCGCGTCCCCGGGCGGCAGGGAGCCGTTCTCCTCGGCCGGGGCCGGCTGCCGTCCGGCACCGCTACCCGCCGCCTCGCGCCGCCGGTCTATCGCCATGGCCAGGGCCCGCGACGCCCGCAGAGGCGCATAGAGCGCGGCGGAGCTCGGCGGGCGCCCGGGCACAGCGCGCCGGGCCGGGCGCCCGCAGCTGCCGCCGCCGCCGAGGAGGGCCCGCGGCCGGAGAGAGCGCTCCGGGCCCGGCGAGTCAGGCCGCCCCCATGTCACCCGCGCACACCCGCGCCCTGGGCGCTGCGGCCCCGCTCGGGCGCCCGGCAGAGGCCGGTCGAGTCCTCAGCCGCTGCGGTTCATCCGCACCGCGGCCCGGGCGCCCGCCGAGCTCCGAAGCTCTCCGCTGCTGCGAGCCGGCTGGAGAAGAGGAGGAGCCGGCGCCGCGCCGGACCCGCGCCCTTGTCGCGATTCGCGGCCCTGCGGACGCCGGTGCGCGTTGTCCTGGGGCCGCCGGCGGCTGCGGGCTGGGAGGTCCTCCACGGACTTGGGGCGCTCCCGGAAGCCGCGAGCTCGCAGCCAGCCTGCGGAGCCGGCCGCGCTCTCGGCTCACCGAACCGGCCTCCGCCTCCCGCCCCGGCCCGCCCCCTCTCCCCCCGCCGAGGTGGAGGTAACCGCGGCACCTGCTGCGCCGCTCCTGCGCACGAGCGCCCCCTCCAGCCCAGTCGCGCCGCCGCCGCCCGGGCAGACGCAGGGGCGGGGAGAGGGACACCCCGGCCGCCGCAGGATCTCCGGCGGCTTCTGGGCGCGACGGGCGGGGGTCCCCACGGAGTCGGCTCTGGCGAGGAGCGAGGGGACAAGGTCGTCTTCCAGTCTCGAGTCCCACAGACGCAAGGGACCCCACCCCGGGCACACTGGCTCTCCGTGACCTCTGTTCGTTTTCGAGGTGCCTGGCGTCCCGCACCCCACTCCTGGTCCTGAGCCGGAGGGTGGCCTGCCTTCCAGAACAACCCTCTGCGCTTTCCCCAGATTCAAATAAGGCTGCTTTTTATGGCCACCGAGCAGTGGCAAGGAGGGGTATTTGCCAGTTTTAGGTTACCAGTCCCTCACAACGCTAGGTCACATTTGACCCACTGCAGCACCCACCCCAAATCGCCATTTCTTTCCGTGCTCCAGAATGAATGTCAAATAAACACAATGCTGGAAGGTTATACCTTCAACAGGACACACACACACACACACACACACACACACACACACACACACACACACACACACACGATACAGACGCGAATGAGGGCGGCCTGCCCCACCCCCTCCCCAAGGTCTCGGATTCACAATTCCAAGGCTGTGTGCACAGGCGCACACATCTACACCTCAAAGGAGATCCAAATGCTCTTGGCGCTCCGGACTCCAGCCCAGCGCCAGCCTTGCCCAGCCAGCACTATATAAATAACACCAGCCCTGCGGCAAACGGCCGCATTAGCATATTTTCTCCTGCGTGCGGGGCCTGACACCAGTGAGAATTATGCGGCTTTCATCCCAGCTTCACTACATTCTGGAGACATTTCATATCCTGAGAAGTTTATTAATGGAATTAATGGAAATCTTAAATGGAGCAATCTATCTTCAGTCGTATTTAGCATGGGGAAGGAAGCAAGCATTCGCTTACTAAAAGCATATCCTTTGAGAACACGTATGGAATGCATTCTTTAAGCATCTCCATTATTTGCTCAGCTGCATGTTGTATAATTTAGTGGGAGACATTTAAAAAAAAAAAAACGTGCTGCTCAACGTTCCAGGCAACATGTACTTACTGCTGAAATTCTGGCACGCGAAGAGAACTATTTCTGAAGACTGCTAGAGGGGGTTGGACCTTGGGAGACCCGACTGGGAACTCTCCTGAGTGGCTGGATAGGGGAGATTAGATAACAATAGGCGGAAGAGACAGGCTTCAGAAAGACACTAAAGGTCTGGGAAACCCAGTCTGGAAACGTAGGCATATTTAATGACATATTTGAATGAGAACGTCATTGTGAGACCCATCACTTTGATTATAATCTAATAAAGTGTTATTTTAAAAGATCAGTTGGGAGTGACAGTGCATCCTGCCAATACATATGATAATGTTCTTTTTTTTTCCCCTCCCCAATTTTACCTTATTGGTTAGTTTAACTTTTCTCCCCTTCCCCCTCACTTGAAGAGCTAATACTTAGGAAGTACTGACCCCCTCACCAGGACAGAGTTAGCACTTGATGAATGTTAGACTTTTATTATTGGCTCCACCCATGACACACAACCTACGTGTTCTTATCTGAACTGAAATGTGACAGGCCAGGCTTTCTTTTGTTCCCCTTCAGTGCTGATTCTTTGAAAGGAAGCCCTCTTGATGTCTGGTTTTGCCTCCTTTACCCATCTGCTCACTGGGACACTAGCTGATGTTTTGTAACTTATTGCAAAACACAGCCATTGGTCTCAACAATGGCTTGTCTAATTGAAATACAAATCATAGGGAACTTTGGAGGGATTTGCTTCCAGATCCACGGTCATTTGAACCTCAGATCCAGGGCTGAGATGAAGTGAGAGTCGGATGCCTAACTATCTCCTGGTTTTAGAGCCTCAGTCATCTCATTCCCAGTGTTCTTTCATTTCAACATGCAGGGACAGGGGCGTTTACCAAGATGTCTGTTTCAAAGGAGGGCCAGATACTCTTTGACTAGTAATCGCTTTGCTGCATATGTATATATCAAAACATCCTGTACACATTAAATGTATACAATGAAATAAAGTTTATATCCTTACAAAAAGTAAGGACTATAAAACAAAGTCTGTTTGCCTTTTAAAGAAAAGCTGTTTATTAATGTATGCTTTTAGGTGGGTGCATCCCTGGTCCTGAAGGGCCTTCATTTTGAGGCTCTTTGTTCTTATTCCAATGGGTAGCAACAATCCTCAAAGGGTGCACTCTGAAATTTTGGAGACAAGCTGAAAAATAGTGCCCTCTCAAGCTGAAGCAGAAGGAAACCACCACCAAATGTTTGGAATTCAGCAGCAGAAGCAGCAGCCTCGACCCAGGCATTGTAATTAAGTTACTGATTAGATTAGGGGTTTCCCCAAATCCCTCTTGGATCAACATTTCTCCCAAATCTAGTCAAGAAGATTAAAATGTAACTAATCTAAAATAAACTGGCCTTGTATTTATTAAAACACACCACAAATGACCTCTTGATGAGCCCTAGAACAAAAGGAGTAAAGCAGGACTGACATTCCAGAATGGAAGAAGGCCTCCAAGGTGAGTATTTAAAGGCCAGCCTGCTGGTACAGAGAAGCCCAAAAGACACCTGCCAGCAGCAACCCCGCCCCTAATTTTCTCCATGGCCTTTGCTATTACCGGCTGTTTGTTTTGCTTACCTACTGATTTTGCTACCTCCCACCTCCAGAATGGAAGTCCCTTGTGGTCCCCTTGCTCAGTTGTATTCCTGGGAGCAATAACCGTACCTGGCACATGTGAGATTCTCGGTACACACTTGTCGAATGACTGAGGGCATCCAGCTGTGATCATCTGATGAGCCTATCTATTCAGATCTACAACTGGCTTTACTTTGATTCTCGAGTCATTAAGCAAGCTTTTCATATTTGTTTAATCTCTCAAACGTAGTGCTCAGCTGAGCCAACACAAGAATTCAGATGCACGTGACAATTGCATGCCTTGTGAGCTATTGTGGCTAATGGATTAGCTCCTGATATAAAGTTGTCTTTGGCTTGAAGATGAAGAAGAGCAGTTCACACACTACATGCAAGGTTTCCAAAAACATCACTACCAGCATTTCAAAATGGAAAGACTGAACGTGTTTTTAAAATGTGTTTGGGAATTCTCCCGACACAGCAGAAGTCTGGCTCGTTCCTTGCCCCGTATTTTTGGGACCATCCTCCCTTGAAATAGCAGGCAAGTGTTCCCCAGCTTGTCTTTATCCCTGCCTGGTACACATGCACGTCATCATCCGGCCTCTGGAAGCATCTACATGTGAGTTCATGACCCTAATTCATATTAGCATCCTGAGTGCACTATTGCCACGAAGAAGCTGAGTCATCCTCTCTTCCTCTGACATTCTGTTAAGTAATCTACCACTTTGCAATTCCCCAAAACTGAGAAAATGAAAACATGACACAACCTAGTTAGCAATATACTAGGATGATTTCCCCCCACTTTGAGATAGCAGGAGAACAAAAGTGATTTTTGGCTTACCTCTAAAATTGAGGGACACCCAATTTTTAAAAGTTATTCCCAAGGAATTGGTGTCAGAGTTAACTCACTTGTATCAGAAACCATGTCATACTAAACAGATTTCAGATTGTTTCCATGCATCTGTTCATTTTATTTCTGTTTGAATTACAGGTGAGTAGATCACATACTGCATCATTCTTTTGTTTTATGGCAGCTTAATTTCTTCCCTTCAGAGGCTTGCTTGAAAGACAGGTTACCTTGCTTCCCAACAGTGTTCCCTTCTTGTGATGGGAAGCACCTCCCAGCTGTGGCTGTGCATATAGTATTCAAACATTATTTTTTATCATCCTTTGGCTTCTGGAATGTCAACTCTTACTCTTTAACAGGGAATTTGACATTTACAAAACCTATCATAAATCAAAATGAAAAAGCTACTTTCATTCTCTGGCAGCAGAAGTAATAAAAATGTCACACAATCTCTCCCAAGGAAAGCTGTAGGTAATACCTGGAGAAGAAGCCACCTGCTTGTCTATGACAAACCAAATTCATCCTTCCTGATCCCAAATAACAGGAAAATAACAAAGTCTTCCATGCAAAAAAGCCACTCCACTGCCAGTGGGATCAGCAGGGCTCAAGTGCTTTAAAGAGCTTGGTGAAAACTTCATTTCAAACCGGGTGGGTGGTGGTGGTGCACACACCTTTAATCCCAGCACTCAGGAGGCAGAGGCAGGCAGATCTTTGTGAGTTTGAAGCAAGCCTGGTCCACAGAGCAAGTTTTAGGACAGCTAAGGCTATACAGAGAAACCCTGTCTCCAAAAACAAACAAACAAACAAACAAAAAACCCTTAATTTCAAACTTATTTATTGAGTTAAAAAAATTCTATCAAATGTATGTAGAACTTGATGGGTTTTGTTTGTTTATTTGTTTGGTTTTTTTTTTTTTTGATAAGAAATCTGTTGCTTTTATGGGGAGAGGGTGAAAATCTGAAAGGGACTGCCAGGCTGGGCCTTATAGGTAAGCTTGAAATGCTTTGTCCCAGCACCAGAACAGCCACCTTCTATTTGATGAGACTCACCCTGCACTTGGCTTCTGGGGTCAACACTGGGTTTGGTATGGGTGAGCAATGTGTTGATTGCCATTGCCATGCAGGCTTTGGGGAAGAACAGTTAAAGTAACAGAGATGTAGGGCAAGAAATTTTCACTTCCTAAGATGGGTAAAGGATGTTCCTTAAACAGCCTTTTGTATTTATCTCTCCCTACTGGAATAGGGATGAAGAAAACCCCAGCAGATGGTCTGGACTTTTCCTAGTCAAATCTAAAGTCAGTAAATACATTTCTTTCAATGACTAGAACTTACAGAAAGATAATCAGTACCCCTAAAAGACACAGTATATACCTTATGAAACTACATGCTTTACCCAATGTATTTATGTTGTTGTTTTTAAGATAAACTTTATGTATTTGTTTATTCATTTTAGAAACAGAGACCATGTAACCCAGGTTAGCATTGAACTCACAATCCTTTTTTTTTTTTCAGCCTCCTGAGTAATTTCAACTGTAAGAGCATGCCATCTGAGTGGATTTACCCATTTATACTTGTAGTTTTTGCTATAGAAATAATAACATTTAATTTAAAACCCTCTAAGAGCACTTGGGAGGCAGAGGCAGGTGGATTTCTGAGTACAAGGCCAGCCTGGTATGTAGAACAAATTCCAGGAAAGCCAGGGCTACAGAAAAACTACATCTCAAAAAGAATGAATGAATGAACTAACTAAATAACTAAATAAATACAACCCTCTAAGATGGCCCACAGTTTAGACTGAAAATAATATGCATGGTAGTAGGCAAAAAATAAATTTTTCTTTCTTTGAAATGCTAGAGGTGGTGCCTAGGGCCTGGAGCAGGCTAGGTGAGTCCACTACCATCGAGGCACTTCATTTGCACTCAATGGTGCTGATTGCATAACTTGGGTAATCATAAAGGACTTCTCTTGGGTTGAAAAATAAGCTATGTATGTTTAGTAAATGTCCCCCTGAAGCTCGAGTATTGAAGACTTCATTCCCAGGGCATCTGTGCTGAGAGGCAGGACCTTAGGAGGTGATTGATCGTGAATTAACCCATTTATGGATTCATAACTTGAAGGACCATTGGAATGTGGTGGAAACTTCAGGCATTGGGTCTTAGGTGGAGGAAGGAGGTTCCTGGGGTAGCCCTGGAAAAGTATGGAAGTATCAAACTATAAGTCAGAATTTCTTCTCTCTGTCTTCCTGGAAGCCATGAGGTGACAGGTTTGTCTCCCCCCAACACTTCTATCATAACGGACGAGTTCACACCAGACTCAGAAACAATGGGACCAAGTAATCATGGACCAAAACCTCTGAGTGGCAAGAGGGCGCAAAGCTTTCCTCCCGTTAGCTGATTTCTCTCGGCTGTTTTGAAGGAGCAACAGAAATCTGACTATCACACAGTATCTGCTTACTGTTTCCAGCCTAAACCATGGACCTTCTTACAGGGTTACGAATTAAATTTTATTGTTTCTGGAGCAAAAATTATAAATGTGTAGAGTCATTAAGATATTTTAATAAATTTTTAAAATTTATTATTACTATATATTATGTGTATGTACATTTTGCCTGCATGTATGTACCGTCTCCATAGAGTTCACAAGGCATCAGATCTTCTGGAACTGGAGTTACAGTTGCTTGTGAGCTGCCATGTGGGTGGTGGGAACCAAATACAGGTCCTTTGCAAGAACAGCCAGTGCTCTTAACTGCTAAGCCATCTCTGTAGGCCCTGTTAATGAAGGTGTTTTGTGTGTATGTGTGTGTGTGTGTGTGTGTGTGTGTGTGTGTGTGTGTGTGTGTGTGTGTTTAAGTGAAACTGAATTTAAGAATTTTGAACTCTGAGAACACTTTCTCTATTGATAAAGCAATTCACTCCAATAATACCAACAAGGTCACCTAACATTCAGAGTGTAAGTGTCTAATACCATTCTCCATTGAAGGAGCCAGGGCTCCTTGGCGGAATGTTTGATTCTGGGACTGCTATAGGAAATATACAAGATGATTCTGGGGCATCATGGAGTGCCGGGAAGTAGAGAAGCTGTGCATATTCTCCACACTTACCACATATACCCCCAGAAGTAAATCATAGAGACACAGGCACTGACTGAAAGCTGCTGAAAGGAGTACTTGAGCTCTGTCATACCGTAGGCTGACAACCCACAGCAGAGCAGAGCTGTGAATGTATGTCAATAAGTGATCAAATAAATACATATCATAAATAAATGACCGACAACATACCACAGAGGTATTTGCACACTCATCTTTACAGCTGTACTGGTCACAACAGCTAAGAAATGGAGACAGCCCACATGTCCATCAACAGATAAATGGATTTCATAATCCATATACGCAAAATTATTTTATTCCTTCATTAAGACAAGTGAAATCACAACATTTGCAGGAAAATGGATAGAACTGGACATCATTATGGTCAGTGAAATAAGCCAGACTCAGAAAGACAAGTACCACTTTTTCTCCCAAACCCACAATCTAGTTTTAGAATTATACTCTGTGTGTGTGTGTGTGTGTGTGTGTGTGTGTGTGTGTGTGTGTGTGTATGTGTGTGTGTGCAGGTCATGAAAGTAGAAAGAGGACTATGGGGGGATCTTAAGTGGAGGATGGGAGAAAGGAAGAAAGGATGATGATATACAAGCAGCATGGAAGCAGAAGGGGAGGGAACTCACTGGGGAGAGGGGGGAAGGGTCCGTCAGCAAGAGGGGGCGCAGAGAAGATGAGTAAGAAGAAAGTATGATAGCATACATGTATGAAAGTATAGAATCAAATGTTACCTTGTATGCTCACTTCAAAACAGTGAAATTAATGACTTAATAGAGATGGAAGAACTGATCTCTAATGAGTAAGAATTATACTTCATGACGATGCTCTGCTGTCATTAGGTGGGCTGCATGGAGTGACCCCTGCCAAGGACACCGTGGGAACAAAGGGAGGAGAACACCAAAGATCCAGGCTGGAGGAGAAAACCCTGCGAACACCTCCCCAGTTGGTTCCTACGCTGGAGATTTCACTGTCAAGTCTGTCCGGTTCCATTTGCCTTTGTGTTTCCACATTCCATCACATTTTTACCGCAGACTTAGGTGTGCATCTGTTTTGCTGGTTTATGTACTCATTTGTTGGTTTGTTTGAGTCAGGTCTCAGGTCTCCTGTAGCCCAGGCTGACCTGGCACTCACTGTGTAGCTCTGAGGTTGACCTTGAACTCTTTATCCTCCTGTCTCGGCTTCTAGAGTGCCAGAATTACCAGTGTGTATCACCACACTCGGCTCTGAATGTATACCAAAACCAAGGTTTTCTTTTGTTTATTGGAGCTTCCCCTGCCTTGTCAAGCTCCTCAGTGATTCCATTTCTTTAAAGTTAACCTCTGGGGAAGCTGCAAAATTCATGGGTACAGAAGAACCAGCCCATTTTCTAGGTAGTGTGGCAAAGCAGGTTGTAGCCTCCAGGTGAACCCTTCTTGATAGAGTCTTTTCATCAGCCACAAAAATCCGGTGACTATAAATCTATCTACATTCAAGTAAAACTCCATTTTCTGCTATATGCCCCTAAAGGACAGAGCCCCTGATTTATCTTCCTCTGTAGTCCTATTGCCTGTCACAGGGCCTGACACTCAGTAGTATTTGCTCAATGATGCAAGGAAGGAAGAATGGAATGACAGACAGTATTTTTTGCGGGGGGGGGGGGGGGGGGGTGAAACAGTACCTTCCCCGTCCAGAGGAACATTAGGAGTGAAAGCTGAGAGGCAGTAAAGACAAAGGCATGGGAAAGAATGTGCAAGATCTATGTGTCTGGATGGTGGATGGCTTTTTCACAAGGTGATCTACTTCCAGTAATTGCTGTAATTTGGATCTGGAATGTTCCCCAAGGCTAATGTAAAAGGCTTCATCCCAAGCCCATGGCACTTTTGGAATGTTGTGAACCTTGAGAGGGTAGAACATAGTGAAAAGAAGTGGGATTGCTGGGGCCTCCCCTTTAAAGAGACACTGGGTAACATGATAAGAGCATCTAGCTGAATGGCCTTTGCAGGTTTTTCTTCAGCTTCCTCCTGTCCATCTCCCTGTTTATTGGGCACTGTCAGGTGAGCGACCTTTCCTTTCACCCTTCCCCACCAGGATTTGCTGCTTTGCACAGATGCAGAGGGGACAATGGCAAATGGCCACAGCCTGAAACCTCTGACAGTGTGAGCTGAATCTGAAGTTCATTATCTTACAGATAGCACAAGTTTTCAAAAGGAAAAATCTAATGGCTTCAGAGATGGTTCCGTGGTTAAGAGCATGACTGTTCTTGCGCAGAATCTAGACTCAGTTTCTAGCATATATATGGTAGATGGTTCACAACCATCTATAACTCCAGTTCCAGGGGATCTGACACTGTCTTCTGACCTCTGCAGGCACCAAGCATGCATGTGGTACACAGACGTACATGTAGGCAAAACACTTCTATACATCAAATAAAATAAATCTGAAAGAAAAGGGGTAAGACTGTAGGGAAACAGCACATTTAATCACTCAAGTTAATTGAGGGAGGATTCACATACATGATTCAAATGCTCAGTTTGATGATGTGTGTGCACCTTTAAGTTCAAATAAGAACAAAACATTTCATTCACCTGCAGAATGGTTTGTTGTGTTCTTTGCAACCAATCCCCTCTAGGCAATGGTTGGTCAGCTTTCTCAAACTACAGATTGTATTTTCCTGGTCTAGAATCCTGAAGAAGTGGAACCGAGCTACATGTTCTTTTTCCTGTCTCCTCTCACTTTGCACACAGCTTGTGAGATTACTACTGTGTGGTTGTTGCCTGTAACAGGGTTTCATCCCTTTTTGCTGCTAAATAATATTTGACTGTATGAATATGCCACGTGTTGTTACCTGTTCTCCTGTTTGTGGGCATGTTGGTTATTTCCAGCTATGGAACTACTGTGAACCTCTAGGGAGAGTTCTTTGCACCAATACAATTCATTTCTCTTGAGTATATAATCAAGGTATAGTTGGGTCTGCTTGACATGACTTGAGTAACCCTAGTCAGTTTTGCCCATAATTTTCCCGGAAAACAATAAATAAACAAAGTCAAGATCTGGGAGTACAGACCAACAGTGGAACACTTGCCTATCATGTGCAAGGTCCTGGATTCAATCCTCAGCACTGCCAATACATAAATTAAAAAAAAAAAAGAATGAATGCACAGAATCTGAAAAAAAACAACAACAACAACAAAAAACAAAACCAATCTGTGGTGGTTTGAGTGAGAAATGTCCTCCGTAGTCTTGGCATTTGAACACTTGGTTCCCCGTTGGTGGCATTGTTTGGGGAGGTGTAGGAGGTGCAGCCTCATGGGAGGAAGGAGTGGGCATGAGAGTTGAAACCTTCACCCCCACTTCCAGTTTACTCTCTGCTTCATTCTTGAGGCTGAAGATGTGATCTCTCAGCTTCCCACTCCTGACACCATTTCTGCTGCTTGCTGCCTCGCTTCCTGGCCGTGGTGGACTCTTATCCTTCCGGAACCATAAAGCCAAAACAAACTCCTTCTGCAAGGTGCTTTGATCATGGTGTTTTATGATAGCAACAGAAAAATAACTAATACACAAATACATTTGTGTAGGGTGTGGAGCTTTCTAGCCAGACTCTGGTACACCAGGAACATGACTGATGTCTTTGACCTTGACTTGAGATAAACCACCTGAGTAGACTCCTAACCTGATTCCCCCCTTCTTCTGACCCAAATCACAAGGTCCATGGGCTTGATGCTACTAAGGGTGTTTTTGTCAGCAAGTCCCCTGTGAACTGTGCTCTATGATGATGGATCTGTTTGTTTCTTTCTTCATTCTTTTTTTTTTTTTTTTTTTTGGTTTTCCGAGACAGGGTTTCTCTGTGTAGCTTTGCGCCTTTCCTGGAACTCACTTGGTAGTCCAGGCTGGCCTCGAACTCACAGAGATCCGCCTGGCTCTGCCTCCCGAGTGCTGGGATTAAAGGCGTGCGCCACCACCGCCCGGCTCTTTCTTCATTCTTAAAGCACCCAGATGTCAGTTCACAAACCCAGGGACTGGCGTTTTTCCAGAACAAGCAGGACTGGTGGTTGCATAGGAGGCCATATCTCACTTTTTGAAAATGACACCTTTCTAGGTGTCATCAAGAATGTGACTTCTGCACAGCCAAGTCTGTTGGCTCTGACTGCCAGTGGCTGAGCCAGGTACTATTTTGGAACCTAGCACTGTGGTTCCTGGGCTCTAGGTCACCCATCTAAAAAGAATGTCCTTGGGTTGCTGTTAGAAAAAGAACTTAGGGCTGAAAAAAGCATCATCTGAGCAGGCATGGAACAGCTTGTGTTCCTATGAAATGAGAAAAATGCTTACAGTCTTTCAGGACACAAGTAGCAATGGGGAGATGGCACCATGTGTTGGTTATTAAATCTGAAGCAAAAGAGAGTACTTTACATGTCAGTGTCTAAAAACAAATTTATTTTAGGTCAGTTTCCATACTTGCTCAAATGGACATCAGTCTGTAGGCATCCTGTCTACACTGTATGCATCAATATTGTTCTTGCATGCACACCGCAGAAAACCCAAGGCAAAGTGGCTGTGGGGAGAAGGGGACTGATTAGCTCAGTGGTCCAGAAGCTGCGATTTGCATAGTTTTTGTCATGGTGGGATCCTGTCCCTCCCCATCTCAGAGTGTGCTTTCTTTTCCACTACCCTCTTTCTCATGTTCAGTGGGGGTGTTTCCCCCGCTCTCCTGGCAGGTCCAATAGAGAGGATGTGTCTACAGACTCCAAACAGATCACCCTGGAGTCTGTTGGCTCTGAGGCCATTGTCTGCTCCAGGTAGGGTTTGGAATTTATAACTATGGTGCCCTGACTTTGGGGCTCTGATTAGCCAGGTCCGAGTCACAAGTTAGGAAAGCCCCCTTGGCCTAATCTGAACTATGGTGACTGGAAGTAGAGTAGCAGTTTCTTTTAGGAAATCATGACAACTCCAAAAGGCAAAAGAACGATGCTACTCAGCTGTTCTTGTTATAAATGATGCACAAATTCAAGCTTTTAGATATGTAGCTGTCACTCAGTGCCCCTAATCTAAAACAGAAGACAGATGAAGGTTGGCAAGACACTGTTGCTAGGATTGAGGGTACCTTAGCAAGTCAGGGCCAAGGTATGCCACAAAGATCATACTACACAACATATCTCACATAAGAGATTTATGCAGGGCGGGTGTCTCTGAGCAGGGACATGAGAAAGACAGAGACAGAGAGAGACAGAACCAAGCTGCTGATCTAACTTTCCTAAGGAAAGTCTGTTGGCTCTTCTGGGTCTGGCAGCTGAAGACTGACGCTGCCCTGGGACCTCTGTCCACAATGATCATGGAGGAACCTAGGGTGATTGCCCAGGTAGCCACCCCAGATGGTCCTGCAGAGTCTGGACGATGAGTGAAACAGCCTGCTCTTCCAGGACTTGGCCAACAATCCCAGCTTTCCTGAGTTCCCAAAGATGTCAATGCCCCCAGACAGCAGGAAGCAGTCTAAAGAGCAAGACAACCCCCTTCCTGCCTCACCATCACCCCTTCCTATTTCCTCACCTTTTATAATAAACAAAAGGGAGGAATGTTAAAAATCAGGAGCTCCCACAGCCTGCCTTCAGTGACTCAGCAGCACTAGCCTCTAGGTCATCACCAGTCACCAAATGCTCATAAAAGTGCCCCCATCAAGGCTCACTCTCTTGCTCTTTCTATCTTGCTCCCTTACTCTGTCTATCTCTCACTGCCTGGTACCAGGACTTTGGAATGAAGCCAAAAGGCTCAGAAGCAACGCCTCACCCAAGAGAAGTAGTCAGAGGTGGGTACTTCTGCTCCCAAGAGTACCAGAGACTCGGGGAAACATTTATACTGACTGAAAGGGATCACTCAGCAATTTCAGGTGATGGATTGAATGGCCAAGTGATCTGTGGGCCAGAAGGTGAACCAGTTGTGTGTGGAATGGGCAAGTAGGGTCCTGGTGTGACTCAGACCCCAAGGGGGAGCGCCTGCACCTGGAGAGCCTACCAAGTCACAGGCACCAGGTCAAAGCCAAGGAATGCCACAACAGAGATCACACCAT